ATTTATATATATATATATATATATATATATATATATATATATATATATATATATATATATATACACACACGCCAAAACCAAAACTGAGCCTACCCTGCTTGCCTCAGGCTTTAGCTCGGGTTGAGCCTAATTTTTGTAGATGAGCTGTTCAAACTCGAGAAAAGCTCGCTCATTTTACCCGAGTTGAGTCCGAGCCTTGAATTTCGACTCGCGAGTTGGCTTGACTCTACTCATTGACATCCCTACCTTCTCCATATATACAATATTTAAATTATAAAATTTAAGACAAAATCTAGTGCCTGTTTGGCTCCCTTTAAAGTTTTAAACCATTTGCTACAGTATCATTTTTCATCACACAATAAAATATTCGACACACAAACTGATAAAGTTTCTTTATTTTTTAACCTCATATTATTCAAAAAAAATACTATTTAAAACTTTTTAACTTTTCTAATAATGGATGACAAACATGAGCCTAAATTGGAGGCTCAAATATTTCTATGGTTGTTTTGGATTCACAATTTATCTTATGATGTATTCTTTTCTGTATCATATAGTTCTCCAAAATTGAGCAGAGTGTCACAAATCTTTCTATACACCCTATGTATTGTCATTTTGTTCTATGTTTGAATAGAACTCTAATTTATTACTTGTAATTAGTGAGATTGGGAATTGAAATTGAAGAAGGTAATTGGCAAGCATGGATTAAAATGAAAATATTTTAATTGTAGCTATTAATTTGGAATTTTCAGGTCTTGATATCAAGGATCTTCTTTGTCTTTAGGAAGAAAAAGTAATAGAAATTATATCCTTGTTAAATTCTGCAAACTTCTTTACTTATATTGAACACGAATATTTACGATCTGCAATTCACAACTGTTCAATTGTCCAATTTCCAATGAAAATATATACAAGGAATGAGAATAAGAGAATTAGAGTTTCTCTTTTCATGTGCTAGCAAGATGATAATTGTATTGTATATTTGTTTCTCAAATCCTAATAGCTTATTTATAGAAGTTCAAGTGTGCTTTGCCCGTTTCCTAAACTTCACTTGATCTAATATTTAATTAATCTAGTTAATTGAATTTGGTCCATAAATTTATTAATCCAATTAATTAATTAGGACCTATTAACAAGCAACCCCAATTAATTTATTGTTCAATGCTATTCAATTAATTAATAAAATATCATTCTTTCTAGCTTTCCTTTTTGCGTGTGACTCATTATGTTTTCAATCACGATGCCACGATGTGAACTATTATTTTGTTCTAATGGGAATTGATGAATTGATAAATTAAAATATCCATCTTTAATTTATGGTCAATTCACATCTGTCATCTCAAATTGACGTCTAGTAATGTGTTAAGATAATACATGTAATGGAAAATGTCAATGGTGTAACAAAATCAAACTTGTTCGTTTACCATGAAATTATAATTCATTCGTCAATATAATCCGATCAATTACGAGATATAGAAGTGTGTGAATCTTGATTATCGATAATATCTTTCATCACACTCTTATGTCAACATATCAATCAAGAATTTCATTATCAATTTAACTGAATGAAATGTAGATCATAATCTTTTACTCTATAAGAGTAACGAATTATTTATTGGTCATTTACAATTTTCATACGATTCTTGATATACTATAATGATGGTGCATCCTACTCTCGATAGAGCATCACCAAACATCATTAAAATATGATTGTCTCCATATAAAACACTACGATGACCTTAAGTCGAAGGATCAATTTTACTATCAAACTTTAGAAATTAATCACTGATACTTAGATAGTTATCCATGTGGATTTTTCAACAAGTTTTCAATATTTTGTTCTACAAGAAAACATTAAAGTGTTCATTTAAGTGTCACTACACTTTAATGAAATTAGCTACTTAGTTGACAAGTAAGAAATGTCACATGTGATGGTCTATCAATAATAATGATATATGTATCTTATTATAACTTATGACTATGGATGATTTAAGATTATGTAATTTATATCTCACAATCACAACTTCTTGTAATTAATCTTAAGATTTGAACTACGAACCCTAAATAAAATACCTTAATTATATTAGAAGTGTTTGGATTTAAAACATAACACTTACATTAAACTGTGTTGGTGAGTAAGATAGTGGTGGGAGGCCACAGAGATGATGAATGTTTGTTGCGGTGATGATGGTGGTGCAAGAAAACTGTCTTATGGCACTCTTTAAAGAGTGGTGGTTGGGCCGATTGCTAAGTTTCACGTGTAATAGGTGCCGGTGGTTTTTAGGGTGATGATTTTGACACTTTTGGTGGCATGGTAGGATTTGGTGGTGTTTAAGTTGTATTTAAATGGTGAACAGATGTCTATAACGTTGAAAATTAGTATTTTTCATGAAGGGGAAACATCAACAAAAAAATATATATATATTTGTATAATTTATATTTTATTCAGTTTTTCAAACTTTAAATTTACAGTTTGCATTACGTGATATTTTAACAAAGGAATTAAACGAGCCATGCTAAACCAAACGAGCCGTGCTATATAAATTGGGCACAGGCAACCTGCCATTGGGGGACACGTGTCCCCCGGGAAGACTTATTCAAACCAAACTGTTGTTTGGGCCCGAGTCCAAACTGATCCTGACCCATTTCAGACGGCCCATTTGAAACTTCTCCAGAAAGTTCCGAGTCCCTTTATATACACGCGTAACCAGCGGACTTTAATTTTCTCGAGACTTCTACAGATCGGAAGAGAGAGATTATAGGAAGAAGCGGAAGGGAAAATCTTTGTCGATCTTTAACAATTAACGGCGTGAGTTCAATTCCTTTTAATCTATTTATGTTTAGGTTTTGATTCGTTTGTTGATTTACTGAAGTTCATATAATTGCATTTGTGAGCGGATGCGGTGCCTTTTTGTCGTTAATTTTCTGGCGCTTTTTAATTATGTGAATAGCTCAGATAATTGGAATTTAATTCAATTTTAATGGATTTTGTTCATAGATTGTGTTTGTTCGTTTTAGAATTGAAATTTTGGTTGTTCATGAGGTAGCGCGTTTGATAAATCTTGTTTTCCAACGTGATTTGTTTTTAGACGTTTAAAATAACGATTTTCACATTTCAATATCTTCTTATTCTATAGAATATGAAAATTATACTTTACATGTCGTGCAACTTATGTAAAATATAATTATTGAATAATTTAAAACTGAAACATGTGTTATAATTTGTCTCAAATGGAACTTTGACAGTCGGTCAACTATAGATTGACACCAATCAATTTGTTATTCCATGGAATTACTCAATTTTGATGTTTAACTTCGTTTGGAACTTTTTCATTTTATATTATGCTTGTTCATGCTTTCTTTTATTGGTTGTGATGTGTATTTATGTCATTTGTTTCAATTCTAATAGGCTACGTGTTGTTTCACAGATGTCATACACCAGGAGGTCAAGGTGTGAACTGATCTCTCAAGTTCAGTTTAATTATTATGAAGATATTAAAACCTATTTTACTTAAATTTAAGTTTGTACTAATTTTTTCAAGTTTTTGACCTAGGTATTCCCGTTCTCCTTCCCCTTGCAAGAGCGATGAGAGGTCTGTCTCAAGGTCCTTGTCAAGGAGCAGATCAAGGTGATTTACAGACCTGAACTCCTTTAATTTGGAATAAACAGAATAAATTATTTTTTTTATTGAATGTAATTGACTGTAGATAGACTTGAATTCTCAATTTCAAGAATATGTTACTACAGATTGATCCTCTTATTTGTTGAAATGGACTGAATAAATCTTCTTGGGTGACTTGGCAGGAGTTATGATTCGAGTGATGCTGAGAATCCGGGAAATAATTTGTATGTGACTGGACTTTCATCACGAGTGTCAAAGAGAGAGATCGAGAAGCACTTTTCATCTGAGGGAGTGGTATGCATGAACTGCATGTTATTTTTTTCTAGTTTTATAATTTCTTGTAAGGATACTCGTTTGCGGACTCAGTCTTTTCATCGAGTATTAACAAGTGTGCATGGTGCTGTTTGATCACTAATTGTTGCTTCTTTAGGTGGAAGATGTTCACCTTGTTGTTGATCCGTGGACTCGGGAATCTCGTGGGTTTGCATTTGTTACCATGTCCACTTTGAAGGATGCTGATCGCTGCATCAAGTACTTGGACGGCTCAGTTCTTGAAGGCAGGGTCATAACCGTGGAGAAGGTAATTCAACTTCATCCTCCCTCTTCCAGAATTTACATTCATGGATCCGTTGCTTGGTTACATTTTAAGTTTAAAATATAATGCATTGGTCTTGTATATCTTGTTTGCTATTGAAATTGCGATTGAGATGTTTGCTTTCGTCGCCTGAAGTTTCTTTGACAACAGGGTAGCTGTGTGCAGCAGCTCTTCACCAAACTAACAAATCAAATCAAACACATCAAGCAAATATCCGACTGTTAATTCAGAGGGTTGTATGCCCTGTATTTCTCTTTTTCTCTTGCAGTTTAACCTTATCACTTTTGAGTTACATATTGCAGTTTTCTTATATTCCCTTCGATGTATTGCTAGCTGTCAGGAGAATGTACTCGATCAAGTAGGTCGTGTAACCTTGTGGTTTGTTTTTCAATTCTACAGGCTAAAAGACGGAGAGGCCGTACACCTACTCCAGGAAGGTACCTTGGGCTGAGAATTCGTGGTGAGTTGTATTACTAGTTTGTAGTCGTGTTGTAATGATTATTTTGGCATACAGACTGCCAAGCTTTTCATTGGTCATGTAGGGCGCCGATCTCCTAGCTATTCTTCTCGCTCTAGGAGTCGCAGCAGATCATATTCTCCTTACTACAGTCGGCGGCGAAGATCATACTCTCCATATGATAGACGTAGGTCATACTCCCCGTATTACAGCCGTGGAAAGTCTTATTCACAATATCGGTCTCCATCATACAGCAGGTCTCCTGTGAGAAGACATGACAGGTCCTATTCTCCCTACTATAGGGATTATTCTCCTGATGACCGATATTACAGAAGGAGTCGCTACCGTTCTGTTTCAAGGGACTACTCTCCAGATGATCGATATTACGGAAGCAGGAGATACCGATCTATTTCTCGTAGCTTATCACCAAGGTATAGGACTTCCAGGAGAAGTTACTCACCAAGGTATAGGAGGACTTCCAGGAGAAGTTACTCACCAAGGTATAGGAGGACTTCCAGGAGAAGTTACTCACCAAGGTATAGGAGGACTTCCAGGAGAAGTTACTCACCAAGGTATAGGAGGACTTCCAGGAGAAGTTACTCACCAAGGTATAGGAGGACTTCCAGGAGAAGTTACTCACCAAGGTATAGGAGGACTTCCAGGAGAAGTTACTCACCAAGTCCCCCGCCAAGGCGTTCAAGGAGGAGTTACTCACGCAGTATCTCACCAAGGTACGCTAACAGAAGCCACCATCGAAGTGTTACACCATCTCCGAGGAAGAGCTCTAGGAGGAGTTACTCTCGTAGCTTGTCTCCCAAACCAAGTGGCATTTCGAAGCGAAGTGATTCTCATGGTTCCCGTGGAGTAAGCAAAAGCTCAAAGAGGAGTGCATCTGGTGGATCTCATAAACGAGCTTACTCACGCGATAGCCGTTCTTCAAGAAGACATTCTAGGAGCCCTAGCGGCAGTTCATCATCTAGATCTGTTACTCCCGAGTCGTCTTCACCTTAGTCTAAAGAACATGCTCTTCAGGATTGCCAGTTTAGGAGGGAGCCATACTTGTGGTTTTATATCGTGATCTGGTTTAGGACTATAATTCCTATTTTAGGTATTATGTAAAGTGATCACTAATATTTGCTGTGGATTTCATTTTCGTCTATCGTGAAACATATGATATATGTACTCTTTTATCCGAATGTTATCTGTGTTGATAAATGATGCTTGTGCTTGATGTTGAATTTACTTGTAGTATACCATGTGGTAGATGCATTTGTTGGATAGCTTGGCTCTTACCTGTTTATTTGATCAGTCGTGTGATCAGTGTCGTGCCTGTGTTTCGCGGGGTCTGAGGCGAGATTCAGAATTTGGGCCCCTACTTCATAGTAAACAATGATTTTTTTTTT